CATACAGGAGATCTCTCAATCATCATGCTTCTTCACTAGCCGTTGCTAGTGCTATTATTTCAGATTCCATCGTTGAGCAAGAATAGTCTGTTTCTTAGACTTCCACGAGACTGCAGTCCCAGCTATGTTAAAAACATAGCCACTGGTGGCTTTAGAGTCTTCTGAAAATATATTCCAATCAACGTCGCTATATCTTTCAAGGACATCGGGTAACTTTTCATAGCATAGACCAAAGTTGATGGTCCTCTTAAGGTATCTCATTACCCTTTTCAGTAGCACGCCAATGCTCAACATTTGGATTGCTCGTGAACCTGCACAAAACCCCCACTGCATAAGCTATGTTTGGCCTAATGCAATCAGTTGCATACCTTAGACATCCGATGATGCTTGCATATTTAGTTTGTCTAACACTGTCTCCAGTGTTCTTGAATAATTTCACACTAGGATCATATGGCGTACATGCAGGCTTACAATCATAATAACCAATTTTTTTTCAGAATTTTCTCTATGTAATGTGATTGATCTAAGGAAAACCCTTTCTCGGTTCTACTAACCTTAATACCAAGAATAACACTCGCATTTCCTAAGTCCTTCATGTCAAAATTAACACATATAGTGACTTTACTTCATTTACCACATGAATATTAGAGCCAAAGATAAGCATGTCATCAACATATAAGCAAATAATAGTGCACAAATTATTCACAGATTTGACATACATGCATTTATCACTTTCATTTATTTTGAAACCATTATCTATGAGTAAACTATCAAATTTAGCATGCCCTTGTTTTGGTGCTTGTTTTAAGCCATAAAGTGACTTGTCTAATTTACAAACCTTATGTTCTTGGCCAGTTATTATAAAGCCATCAAGTTGGTCCATATAAATCTCTTCCTCTAGTTCTCCATTCAAAAAAGCAGTTTAACGTCCATTTGATGCACAACTAAATCAAATAACGAGGCTAATACAAACAAAACACGTATGGAAGTGATTCTAGTGACTGGTGAGAATGTATCTAACAAATCAACATTCTCTCGTTGTCTAAACCCTTTAGCTACTAACCTGGCTTTAAACTTGTCCACAGTTCCATCAGCTTTTAGCTTCCTCTTCAGTATCCATTTGCACCCAATGGCCTTGCATCTAGGGGGAAGATCAACCAAATGTCAGGTTCTATTGGATTCTAGTAAATCCATTTCATCGTTTATGGCTTCTTGCCATGAATCTGCATCCAAAAAGATCAAGGCTTCTTAGAGTGTTTTAGGATCTTCTTCCAGTGTGTAAGTTTGGAAGTCAGTCCCAAAATCCTTGGCCACTTTGGGCCTCTTACTCATTCTTGGTTCAAAACTAGTTTCAACCGAATCACTGAGGGCATGGTTGCTCATTCCAGACAATCCCAAATTAGTGGAGGTTGAACCCCCACTATTGCTTAGCTTAAAAGGAAATTTATTTTCAAAAAAGTCAGCATCATTTGATTCAATAATAACATGACTTTTCAAGTCATAGAACCTATGTGCTTTACTATTGGATGCATAGCCAATAAAAACACATTCAAATGCCCTACTTGCTAACTTTGATCTCTTAATATCAGGTTTTCATACATATTCTAAACAGCCCCATGTTCTTAAGTAGGACACATTAGGTTTCTTATTCTTCCAAATTTCATATGGTGGAGTTTTTGTTTTTGAAGAAGGAACTCTATTGAGAACAAAACATACTGTTAATAAGATTTCCCCTCACCAATATGAGGCACTACCATTATTAAGATGCACATCCACAGTTAATTCACAAAGTGTCCTATTTTTCCTTTCAGCCTTACCATTCATCTGTGGAGTATAAGTTGCAGTTGTTTCATGTATTATACCTAGGTTTTTACAATGCTCATTGAAATCCCTAGATTCATATTCAAGTCCTCTATCACTACGTAACCTTTTTATTCTTTTATTGAACTGATTCTCTATTTTAGCTAAGTACATTTTGAACATGTCAAAAGCTTCACTCTTATTTTCATCAGATAAACATAACAATAATTAGACTGATCATTTATAAAGGTAATGAAATACCGTTTCCCATTTCTAGTAATTACCCCATCAAATTCACATATATCAGTGTGGATTAGTTTAAGTAACTCAATTTCTCTAATTATTGATTTGTGTAAAGCTCTAGTGACCTTAGCTTGACTACAAAATTCACACTTTTCAAAATTGCTTAGTGTGAGTTCAGGAAGTAGTCCTAGGTTACTCATTTGTTTCACTAATTTCGTATTCACATGACAAAGTCTAGTATGCCAAACATTAAAGGAACTAAACATATAGGCAGAAGTAACATTTTTATTCATAACATCAACATTTAACTTAAACATGCCATCAGTAGCATACCCCTTTTCCCACAAAGACACCATTCTTTGTGAGAGTATACAAATCAGCCCTAATAGTTTAAGTGAACCTAGCTTTGTTGACAAGGTATCTAGAAACCAAAATTTTCATGATTTCTGGAACATGCAACACCTTTTTCAATATTACTGTTTTTTCTGAGGTGAACTTGAGCTCAACATCCCCTACTCCAGCAACATTAGTTGAGTGAGAGTCACCCAACAAAACCCTTATGTCTTCAACCTTAGTGTATGACTTAAAAAGCCCACGATCATAGCAGACATGGCGTGTAGCACCTGTGTCTACCCACCACCCCTCGGATCCATCAACCAGACACCATTACAATGAGTTGACCCTTAGTAAGGTTGGCTTGAGGAGCAACTCTTCGTTTGTTGCGACAGTTGCGAGCAAGATGTCCAGGTTTGTCATAGTTGTAGCACAAAAATGGCTTAACTGTTTCATCTCTTGAGGGGGTAATTTTCTGGTGTTGTTTCGATATGTGTTATGTACCTTCATAGGATTTTTGTTACTAGAGTGAATCTTAGTAGCATTCTTTAGATTCTTGCTGTTAGGTTTGAGGACAACAGTTGCATGGTTCTTTGAGTGTGGTTTCTTGTTGGCATTGGAGATGACCAGAAATTCCTCTTTCATGTCTTGTTTCCTTGCCTCTTCCTCGATTCGAAGACGCGTGTTCAAGCTTTCTAGAGAAAACTCCTTTGTCTTGTGTCGCAGAAGCTTCTTGAATTCTTTCCAGCTTTGTGGTAGTTTGTCAATGATCACAGCAACCTGGAATTGTTCATCCAGGTTCATTCCCTCAGACGCGATCTCATGGGCAATCTTCTGCAACTCATGTGATTGGGTCTCCACAGGTTTGTCATCCACCATTTAGAACTTGAGATATTGGCTTACTGCAAACTTCTTTGCTTCAGCTTCTTCAGTATCATACTTATTTTGGAGAGCATCCTAAAGTTCCTTAGCAGAATCACAAGAAGAATAGTAATCATAGAGATCATCACATAAGCCATTTAATATGTAGTTTTTGCACAGAAAGTCATTTTTAGCCCAGGTTTGAAACAATTTAAATTGTTCAGTAATTGGATGTTCAGGTAATAGTGGCATCTCAGAGGTGCAATTTGAGGCAATTTTCTTGGTGGTCAGGAAAAACAACATATTTTGCCTCCAACGTTTGAAGTGAAGTCCTTCAAACTTGGTGGGTTTGTTCAAATCAGCGACAAAGGGATTGATTTCAGTGTCCATGGCAGATAAAAATCATTTTAAAACTGTTGAGGGTACTGCACAAATTCAAAATAAAGAACGAAGTTACTAGGAAAACAAATATTGCATACTTCACTATGGGTTGAGTCGTGGACAATGTCGCTTTCTTTAAGATGTTTTGTAGCTCTGCCCAAGTTGTGCAAGCAGTCTAAAATACCACAATGTCCCCAGGACAAAACATCCTAGAAAACACCTCTGTATAGACATTCCTTTGCACTAAGGAAGATCTAAAGCTTTCACTACTCTTATACTCAAAGTTCTTCTAGTTTTTCTTAGTTTTTCTCAGTGTGTTTTTACATAGCAGAAAACCCTAGTAATTATACACAATTGCAAGACTTTAACGTTGAAGTAGTTAAGCTAATCACGCCCAAGAATTCAGGCCATAAAACAAGGGAGTAAAACCACTTTGTTGAGAAAGAATAGATCTCCTAAATCAAAATAAAATCTTGCAGTTTAAGAAAAGATTTTTTTCCATAAAAATAGGAAACCAACGTTAATAGAAAACTAACTCTAATAATTTTAAATAAACATAAAATCCCAACACCCTCAACTACAGACCCTCTATATTTCCACCACCAACCTGCAGATCCGTCCATTTCAATCATTTTCTTCCATACCATCTTCCCTTAACCAAACATTAGGTCTTGAAGTTTTGGGCTGCTTCTATTTGATGTGGATTAAGATTTTATCAGCTGTTTTTACTTTTGGGACTATTGCTTTTGATGCCTTCTTGTATCCGTTTACTGCTGGTGCCGTTCTTCGACCTTACCACATTTATGGATTTCACATCTGCGGTGGTGGGTTTAGTTTAAGGGTCATGTTTGACCCATCCCTTGATCGATTGAGGATGACGCTGGTTGTTGACTCCTGTTGGATGCTACAATACCATCCTATCCAGATCTACTATTGAGGCTTTGGTCTCTTCTTTGATGTTCGGGTTTCTGACAGCAGCGATAGTAGGAAGGTTGTAGAAGTTGTTAGGGTTTTTGTGTGTTTTGATTTTTTTTGTTGTGGGTACCAATGTCTTTGGGCTCTTACTTTTGTTTATATGGAGGGTCCAACCCAATGTCTTGTGCTTATTTTTGTACTTCGGCCTTCTTTACTGTAATCTTTTTTTGTTGGTAACGAATTTACCTTTGACCAAAAAAAAAAACCTCATTGACCTATTTATAATTGAAATAAATTTGATTGACATATTGTCAATATCATAACATTTAATTGATTTTATATAAAATCACCCAAGAATAAAAAAGAACTTGTATAGAAAAATTCCATGTCCCTTCATAAAACAGCGTCCTGGACTCTCTGGTTTTTAGTACAAAACAACACCAAAATTTGCCAACGAGCTTCAAGCTTCAAGGTAAGAAAACGAAACGACGCCAAAATTTGACACAAACAGACGGACAAGTGAGCATTGAGAATAAGAGCAAAGGGCTCCAGATGCCACCAGCTGCATAGATTGGGTGCGCGCACCCCCTCCATCTAGTTGCTGTTGTCCTTCCAAATCCGGCCAGAGATCCGAAGCTTGAGCTCCTTCCTGTCTCCACCCGAGAAAAACAGTGCCATGTTATGCTGGATTATGAGACCGTCATGGTTATTCCTGACCTTCTGATGGCTGTCACGGATGCTCCGAGGGGTTCCTTCCCATATTAGTTTCCTGCCGTTGTTGCCCACCTCCAGTCTGTAGCTGAAGCTTCGTGCCTCAGCTGCGTCGCCCATGAAGCGAAGGAATGCAATGTAGACCGGAGCTATGCCGAGGTGGAAGGCTTCAAAGTGCAGACAGAAGTACTTGTTGTAACAGTTAAACACCTAATAAAACATGAAGAACATGGAAGGTGAGCATCTAGGAAAACAATCGCATTGTTCTGGTTACCAATTTACCATAGATTCCACGAAGTAGGGCCAACCTATTTGGTTAAAGGCTTCGGGCTCGTTTGGGGAGGTTTTTCTTGGAAATGTATATGCTCATAAGTGCTTTTATTAGAAGCAGAACAAAGTTCTTAGGGTCTGTTTGCAATTGTTTTTGGAATGGCCATAAGTGCTTTATGACAACTAAAAGCGCTTCTGGTTGCATTGGCAGGGAATTTTAAAAGTATTTTGGGGTCATAAAAATGCTTTCTGGAGAAGCACTTGTCAGATGTTTCCTCAATAAACACTCACAAGTGCTTTTCTTCCTGCTCAATTTTTTATTGAAAATTTCAACATGCTTCTAACAACATTTTTAGTAGAAGTAATTCTACAAAAGCAATCCTAAACGACAAATCGCTTTTGGAAGTGCTTTTTTAAAGTACTTCTCCATAAAGCATCCACAAAAAAAATTACTTTTATAATCCTTATGATTTTGCCAAACATCTAAAAGCAGTGTCAAACGAGCCTTTCAATATCACTTACTCTAAACTACTCTAAATTCATTCTCAATTTCAACAAATCAAAATTTAAACAACGAAACAACACTTACCATTAGCATCCTTGCTGCACACTCCACTTCGAGGCTATTCGACTTAACATAGAGGTGATTAAACGTTGGCCCAATGTGTAAGTCAACCTTGTGATCTTCTCTCAGATGGTCAACCAAAAAAGGAACATCCCCAACCTCTGAGCACTCATCACATCCAGGATAAGGGCAACTGTATGGTCTGTAGTTGCAGTGAGCCTCATGCCTGAGTTTGATGTAGTAAGGGAAGATCTCCATGCACCCCAAAGAACAATACTTGCTTGGAAGTTCTAGTGACTCTGCCACCTTCTCCAACGCCAGACATCGAATGTCTCCGAGTTTTTCTAGACACGCCGGGCACCGGTTCACTGTCAACTTGCAGATTGAGCAAAGAATGTGACCATTAGGGCACTGCAGAACAGACTTTTGGGATCAACTAGTTTTAAGTTCTAACACACGTAATGTAAGTAGTCAATCTGAATGAAAGTATAGTAGCTACTGAGTACTGAAGATAAAACCTCACACCAGCAAGAAAGTGGGAAGCAAGGGGTGAATATCAGTATTAGACCAATTAATAGTGGTTACTGGTCCATCTTTGTGAAATATCTAACCTTGTGTTTTGAACGAGGGACTTTTAAAAATAATAGAGGGACCTTTAAAAATAATGGAGGGACTTGAAAATAACCTAGATCCAAAACATTTGAGAGAACTTTCTAATGACACCTATCAATGTGTCATCTTGAAAGTCGTTTGTAGTGACACATTGAGTAATTCATTGTGCACATTTTGTAGTGTATTTTGTAGTATTTTATGATGGTTTTATAGTGATTGAGTAATTCATTAATTGTCTTTGTAGTGCATTAGGAAATACCCTCATCTAGATTTGCATTTCCTAAACCAATCAAAACTCATCATAGCCACCAAAATCAATCATAATACTACCAAAAAAAAAAAAGGAAATTTTGAAAAGTAATCACACTTGACTCTTTATAGACTTCTAACCACTTATTTAGATTCAGAATTTTAACCACATGCACTAGAAAGATTCAACCGTTACTCTCAAGCAAAGCAAGTATCTGATGATACGCTCGGGGAAGTCTTGAGTGGTTAGATTTCTAAATCCCAAGAAAAAAAAGGCTAAAAATCTTCAATGTGTTAAATATATTTGACTAATTTCCAACAAAAAAAAAAAAAATTAATGTCACCACATTATGGTAAATGATATAACTAAACACACCTGGTGGATTGGTGGGAACATGGACTTTGAGCAGACAGGGCATTCAAGAAGCTCATGAACTGTTGTGGCTGGACTCAATGCTCTATTGTTGGACTTGGCCGGTGCCAAGAAACGGCAGCGGTGGTGGCAAGAGCGTCGGCAGCGGTGATAAGTGTCTTCTCCCTCATAGATCCCATCATATGTCGTCAAACTATCAACAAAACTGTCCTCCTCCATTGTAAAGGTATTTCATGCAGGTTTTGAACAAACCAAAAAAACTAAAAAAACAAGTCCTTGATGTCTGTCTTGTCTCTTGTTTTGGTCCCTTCTGTAAAGTGAAGGAGAAAGAGAGAGAGAGAGAGAGGCAAAGGATACAAAGAAGTTGGCTTTCTTGGGAGCATTTGGTGAAGGAGACAGAGTAGTCTCCATCGGTCCTCCCCAATATATAATGTTCACTTCTACCAAATGCCAAAAGGAGTTAATGCTGAAAACCAAGGACCAACTGTACCTTCTTCAAAATTTGCTTCCTAACAAGGTAATTTAAGGTGTGATTCCTTTATATGTTTTCAAAATCAATTTTGGTTGATGATGTTATCAATTTTAGTCCAAATCAAACTTTTACTTTTAATTTTGACCGATGTTATCTATGTGGATATCAAGTGCAAAGGTAAACTTGTCATTTTAAAACATTGAAGTCTATTTGATCCTTAAATCAAGTGAGAAATAACATTTTCACCCACATTGTCTAGAGCGAGTGTGCATCCTCTAATTACTCAAATTTACCACTTAGTACTACGGTATAATAGTATTCATCTTCACTTGTAAGCGAGAGGTCTTATGTTTAATTTTTGCTAAAGGCGAATTTGAATTCCATTATTGTTAGTCCATTGTTAGGCTTAGCTCAAACCATCACCCTTTTAATGTAGATAATATCGTTTATTAAAAAAATAATAATAATAATCAAATTTGGATATCATTGCCCTCAGTTTAGAGTACAAGTATAATATCTCTCTTGTATTAAAACAAGTGTAGAGAATCACATTAATTAAGAATAAAAATTAATAAATGAAAACACGAGATTAAAAAATTGGGCCCTCTTCCATTACAAATGGTATCCATTAAGGGACAAGGATTGTCTGCCCTCGTTGTTCCCGTGCCCTCCCATGCCCTCCTGTTTGTGTGGTCACGGTTAAGCCACGTCAACATTTTATATTACTATTTATTTTTGTCTTATTATCTCTATAAAAAATAATATAAAATGTTGACGTGGCTTAACCGTGACCACACAAAATAGAAGAACAAGGAACAACGAGGGCAAAAATCCTTGTCCTCCATTAAGATTGGTAATGTATGTAATTACTATGGTAAACTACTCCCTTTAACAAAGGTCTTTCTCTCTCTTTCGGTGAGAGTTCTTCTCTCAGACTGAGAATGCTTCTCATCTTCTGTGTGAGTGACCGAAGATACTGATTTCGATCAGCCACCGGCCCTAGCAGGGCCTGGGTCGGTGGTAGCTCATTCTTTTTCTTCCTTCTTTGTTTTCTTTTGATCCTTTTTCCTCTGCTTCAGCCTGTTTCCGACCGCTCTTTCTCCTTCCTCTTGCATCGGATCTAACGGCACCTTGGCTTCCATTGGAAATTTCTCAATTCATACCATCTTTTTTCTCTTCCCATGCTGCCTTCCAACATCCATGATTCTTTTCACCCCATCTTTTACCTACCCCCGTGAATTCTGGCTTCTCTCTATCCCACTATTTCTCAGATCTGCAACCGTGTTTCCTAACCGCGTTTTGCGGCTTTTCTGGAAGGTGTGTAGAGCATCTGCTCAGGTGGTCACACCACCACCTTCAATCTGTGTGCCTTTTTTGGCACGATTACTTGTGGGATGTTTCTTCCACGAGTTTCATTTACATGATGGCTGTGGATTTGGATCTTATGGGATGATGGATGAGGGTGGAATCTTCTTGATTTCCGATTTGGAGGCTTCGTTTGTTTGGATTCCAGTGATTGCAAAAGGCGGTCGTGGTTCGTGGTTGGCTGTGTTCTTAGGGTTCTTGTTTTTTTGTTTGTTTTTGCTCAATCTTTGGATTGTGCCTTTCGTTTTGGGAATCGTTTTGTAGTTCTGGGCTTTATCTGTATTTGAATCCCTGTTTGTAAATGTGTTGCTGTGTTGGTAATGAAAATTTACCTTTGGTAAAAAAAAAAAAGTACTCACTTTAACAGCCATGATAAACTCTTCATTTGTGAGGATATGAGATTTTTCTACAATGTGAGTTCCCATTAAATTGGTTAAAATTATGATTGAGTTATTCTTGTGAAGCTAAAGTCGTTGAATAAACATATTCACCTGTTTATTTGTCATATCAGCACATAACAAAAGTTTTGACAAAATTATGGCGGAGGACCACATTGATTTGAGAAGCCTATTTCTAAGACTACATTGATTGATTTTCAATTTCAAAGATCATCATGATGGTATGGGTCAATTTCAGAGATCATTTATGATTAAAAAAAAGAACTTATGGGACCCATTATGTGCCACATCAGCATATTACAGAATTTTTGACAGAATTATGACAGAATGACTACATTGATTTGAAACACCTATTTTCAGGAATTACATTGATCGATTTTCAATTTCAAAGACCATCTTACTGGTGTGGGTCAATTTCAAGAACCATTTGTGATAAAAACCCCCCAAAAAATGAAAAGATCAGGAAAAAGAAAAGATGGAAAAAGATAGGGAAAAAAGAAAAACAATTTTGTTGACCAGAGTTGCTGAAGTAAAAAAGAATTTGTTTTTTTGCTGCAATTGGCATATGGAAATCTTGTTTGTCTAGTGACAGGGAGCACTCAAATGTTTTCTTTCCGTACTTTCAACGTCAGCCAATCAGAATACGAATCAGTTTGCCAATCCAATTAAGATTGCAAGTCAAGTCAAGTTCGCCATTTCAAGTGAAATCTAGTTTGCTTACATGTTCGCTTACCAGAGCCTATCTGCCTGATTGCTTAATTAAGTTTGCATCCGCATAGCTTGTTGGCAACCTGTTTGGATCCAAAATTACACCATCAGCCTGTGCAATCAAGACCGTTGAGTGAGCATAGCTCCACACCATCGGATGGAAAAGTGAAGATAATTTTATTATTGTTAAAGAATATTTTATGATTTGTTATCATAATAATGATATTTTAATAACAAATTATCTTGATATTCTCTTATATGGGATAATAAGATGCGAATTATCCAAACAAGCAGTACAGTTCAAATGGACTTGGGATTCTTGTTATCGGATTGGAATGGCATGGTACATTAAGATGAGGGTTAATCAGAATAGTTTGGATAGACATCACTGCAGCCGTAGAATCAGCCGATCGAAGAGCATATTTAATTTGGATATATAACACTGCTTCGAGACCGACAGGTTATTTATCCAAGTCTCGGTCAACAAGGATTTCCAAGTCCTTGTTGGTAGAGGTCATCTCATCAGCCTTTTCGGCGAAGTGAGGTGTTACCAGGTTACTAGTCTCGGTACATTGAAAGTTAGGTTTTATTTTATGATTGGATATTCGCAAGTACAATTTAAAGTTCGGCATTCTGACGGCCGAACCACATTTACAATCAAAACATTTATCTCTTTCGAGTATTTGTGTCCGTACAGTCTAGTACCAGTTCGGCATACTTATACTCTCACGAATATAATTACCGAGACCGAACCCGGTGCAGACGATTTGTGAACTTCACAGAACTAGCAACCTTGTCTTCAGGTTCTAGAACCCGAAGGCCGAGACGTGTTCTTTCCTTGGCCGCAGTCGCAAGATTAAGAAGTCAACAATGCACCTAACGCTACATCAACATATTTTACTCCTCGGCCGAACTCGGCTGACGAGTTGGCGAGCCCCGCATACAACCGAATGACGTAGTTAGCTTATTAATTACTCGGCCTGTGCGACACTGTTGACCCTAAAAACTACCAAGCCTACGTGGTGCGCAGCTGAGTAATCTATGAGCTAACTACGTTCTTCGGTTGAATGCGCGACGTGCCAACTCATCAACCGAGCTCGACCGAGGAGTAAAATATGCTGATGTTGTGTTGAGTGCGCGGTCGACTCCTACGTCTTGCGATTGCGACCGAGGAATGAACACGTCTCGGCCTCTTGGGTTCGCGAACCTGAAGACAAGGCTACTATTCTTACGAAGTTCACATAACGTCGTCATCGGATTCGATCACAGTGATGGTATTTGTTAGAGTAAACTCAAGCCGAATCGACACCAAAGTGTAAGAGCACAAATACTCAAAGCAGATATATGTCTTAACAATAAACGTGGTTCGGCCGTCGGAATGTCGAACTCTAAATCCCACTTGACAGTATCCAATCATAAACTAACTCGGCGTGCAATGTGCCGAGCCTAATAAACTGTAACACCTCACTTCGCCGAGCAAGCTAATGAGATGACCTCGACCAATAAGGATTCAGAAATCTTTTTCGACTGAGACTTGGATAGATAACCAGTCACCCTCGACACAGTGCTATCTATGCCGATTGAAGATATCATCGGTTGCCTTCACATTGCTGTTTATCCAAACTGAAAGTGTGTTGGCGAAAAAAGAAAAGGAAAAAATCTCAAGGTTGTTGAGAGAATTTGCACATGGCAGTTGTGTGTTGAATTGAAAGGGGCCATTTCCGTTGCCATTGCATCTGTATTTATAAGACTTAAGTACTTGGCTTGCACGGTCATATAATGTTGCAGAGTCCAACTGCAACTCTACCTCGCAGAATGAAATCTAATCCGTGGCATAGGCTGGCTGACTTTTCAAACAAAATATAAAACTATCTAGGCTTATCCCATCATGACCAAAGACCTAGCTTACCTAGGCTTCTCTCTCCACCATCAAATCCTAGGGCCAAAAGCAAAGCCTATCTAGGCTTCTATAAGATCTATCCGTGCATGCATTAGTCCATTTGCAGTTGTATGACAATCATCTGCATGCTTCACTATCTGATGCCACGCATATCCCAATATTCCATAGGTTCTTCAATTGGGATTTAGACAAATATTAGGTTTAAAATAATTTAATATATTATTAAGAGATAATATCATGATTATCACAATATTTTAATATATTATTAAGAGATAATATCATGATTATCACAATATTCTTTCTCAATAATAATTAAAAATTATTTCAACCACTTTATCATCCAATAGTTTAAAATTTTGTTCATTTAACGGCCTTGATCACTTGGGCTGATAGTGTAAAATCGGGCCCAAACAGATACGTAGGCTTGGAAGCTTTTAGGGTTGTTGATGCACAAAATCAGTGAGGACTTTGGTACAACAGAAAGTGTTAAGTTTGTGACCTTCGCTAGATTGC